AGTGTCGTCGCGGATGTCCCTTGAGGCTGAGGTTCTGCAGAGGACGTCCCCACAGCAGTAGACCCAGGGACCAGGGTCGAAGGCCTATGTGGCTCCGGGGGCTACTCAGTGGGTGTCCGGCGCTCCAAGGAAGCGGCCGCTGTCATCCCCAGGGCCACCATCCTGGCCAAGCCTCCGGTATCCTGGTGCAGATGGCCATGAGGGTCCCACTGGCCCCTGCCATCATAGTTCTGGGGGGCACACCTGGTCCCCTGCCCAAGGGCTGCTGCCAGTGGGGGTCAGTGAGGCCCGCTACCCCTCCGCCGGGGCTACACGGCCACCAGGCCATCTGCCCGGCCACCTCTGAAGCCCCATTCAAGCTACAGCTTCCTCGCCCCTGAACCGGGAAGGAGGCCTTGCTCAGGAGTTCGCCGTCTCTGAAGATCCACCCGAGGACCTAGAAGGAGAACGTGGGCTCCGACGGGAGCGACCGGGCAGCAAGTTTACATGAGAAAAATCAAGGAAGCTAAACTTGAAAATTAAAAAAAAATAATAATAATGTGGACAAGTGGCAGGCAGGGGAAGCCTGTGGCTCCCTACAGGGGACGCCGCGGTCCCCCAGGTTCCGTTTCTGCTCAAGGAGCACCAGCCATGGGGGGCGGTGAGCAGGGAATGGACCGCTTTGAACGCTCCCAGGCACAAAAGTATGGAAATGCTATTTTTAACTTAAAAGTATGTGAGATACAACATAGTTCAGGCTAGGATAAATCAGAAGACATACTAATACATCATCTTCCCAAATGAGAAACGAAATAAAATTGGATGATGCTCCTATTGCCTCACCAAGGATCCTGAAATGCCCGCGGGCACTCCGCTTGGGCACTGCACCTATTAAATGACACAGCGGCCACCTTGTGGGTGCCTGGCCGCTGAGCAGTACCAGGTGCTGAGCAGAACCAGGTGCTGGGCCCAAAGACAGGCCGGCCAGGGTCCCTGCAGCAGACCCTCAGCTGCCTCCCTGGGCCACGGGAGGCTGACAGCCTGATGCTGGGGAGACCAAGGGCCAGGTGGCTGGAAGAAAGCACCACCCTGGTTGGCTGGGAGAGGCAGCAGAGCTCGAAATCGTACTCAGAGGAAGGTGGACAGGCCGGGGAGAGAAAAGTCAGGTGAGTCTGGGGCTGGCGGACAAAGCATGTACAGAGGGCCTCCTGAATCCTCCCAAGGAAAAGAGGCTTTGTCCTTTGGGGAGTGCACTGAAGAACTGCTGCACACTGGGGAGAAATGGCCACAGGTCAAAAAAAAAAAAAAAAATCCTACTGACCTGAGGTTGGGGCCTGACTGGGTGGGAAGGAGCTGCAGGCTGAGACCAGTGGGGGCTCCACAGGGGTCTGGGGGGAGGCCTAGGGGAAGAAGGAGGCTGAATGAGGAGGCTGTCACAAGGCTTAGGCACCCCGGGGTGGGGAAGGGGAGACATTTAGGAAGACACTGTGGTTCCCAGCTTGAGCACCCACCAAGGAATACCGGGGGAGCAGCCCATTTGAGAAGCAGGCAAATGATGAATATGCTCTGGAAAAAATCAAACAAATCAAACAAAAAAAGAACCATTGTGAAAATGACCCTCAGACTTTGGGAACCCGCCCTTCCAGCCCCCTTCAAAAGGGGAAAAAACAATCGGCGCTGATAAGAAAGCAGAAAGTGTCATCCTGGACGATTCCAGAGGGGGACCACTCTGAGATGAACAGCGTTTATAATCCATGAACTTCTGTGGCCTGCTTTGGACACCGCACACTTCCCGCCCTTGTGTGTTCTAGAAGCATTCAGAGGAAACATCTGCCCCAGAACATGACATCACTAATGTAACAGTCAATATTTGACAGAAATCTATTTAGCAGACACTCGCTCTCACCTAGCAACCCGCTGGTCGGCAAACTAACAACTTCACTCCCTCCATGCCGGTGTTGCCCTTCGTGCTCAGACTGAGGTCAACATTCCCAGCCAGGGACTCCACCCTGCTCCCGGATACACGGAGAACAAAACGCAAACAGGACTGAGCAGCTGGGTTGTAGGACGTAGTGGGTGGAAGAGCCGTGTGTGGGAGCCAGGGGTGGAGGCCATCTGTCACGTGGATTACGTGGATTACACCCCTCCTGGGTCAGGGGACGCAGGTGGAGCCATGGTGTGAGCGGGGCAGGCTGGACCCGGTGCTGGGCACTGGTGATTTCTGAAGCACATGTCATTAGTCCCCTTCCATACACCAGGAAGTCAAGGTCCAAAGATCCACTGGACAGCCTGGGGACAAACTAATAAATGGCAGAGCCAGGCTTCAAGCCCAGGTCTGACTCAAACTCAAAGCCACACCCGCCATCAACATTAGACCTCAAATTAGGGGCTGCACAAAAGGTACATCCAAATCAGGTCATTAAGGTGGAACAGTCTCAGGCTTAAAGTGAACACTGCGGACAAATCCCCTCAAACTGCAAGTCATTCGGACGCTGGCTGAATACCGTTTGCATTATACCTCCTCACTTTCTATCCTACCGCGTAAAAGGCCCTTTTCCCCAACTGGCAGTGAGACGTTGTTAAACACAAGTGAGCACACAGATGCCTGAGACAGGACATATAAACCTGACGTGTTCACACACAGGTACGAGAAAGACCCCTGTCTGCTATGTCCTCGGCACACCGTCAGGAGAACAAAATCCTATTACTAACATTGTAACAACAAGCAAGTGGGGAGTTTTTTTGCTTTTTGGGTTTTTTTTCAGGTGGGGAGTTTTTTCGGTTTTTGGTGGGTTTTTTTTAAAGATTTTATTTATGGGGCGCCTGGGTGGCTCAGCCTTCGGCTTGAGTCATGGTCCCAGGGTCCTGGGATCGAGCCCCACCTTGGGCTCCCTGCTTGGCGGGAAGCCTGCTTCTCCCTCTCCCACTCCCCCTGCTTGTGTTCCCTCTCTCGCTGTGTCTCTCTCTGTCAAATAAATAAATAAAATCTTAAAAAAAATAAAATAAAGATTTTATTTAATTTTTTGACACAGAGTGAGAGAGAGAGACAGAGGGAAAGAGTGCTGAGCAGGGAGCCCGACGCAGTACTCGATCCCAGGACCCTGGGATCCTGACCTGAGCGGAAGGCAGACTCTTAACCTACCGAGCCACCCAGGCGTCCCTCAGGTGGGGAGATTTAAAGGTAAATTCAAGACAATGACTGAAGCATGAGTGAACAGTGTCAAGTATGACCATCAGGAAAAGGCTCTTACTAAAAGGAGCCCGCGTCTCCGAGGTTACTGGCGTGCATCAGTCACTCCGTCCAACTGACTCAGGGTTTCCCGTATTTTTCTCCACCTCACTCATTTTTGTCCAGGGTGGCTTCACATCAGCACACCACCCCAGGAGCTGGTCCTGGACACGGGCTGCCAACGACGCTTACCTCTGGTCTGCAGCAAACCCAAATGCTGACATCAGATAAGCCACACGGCAGGGACTGTCTGGGCTCATCTGACAAGACTCACCTACAAAACCGAAGTGACAGGGGCGCCTGGGTGGCTCAGCCGTTGGGCGTCTGCCTTCAGCTCGGGTCATGATCCCGGGGTCCTGGGATCGAGCCCCGCGTCGGGCTCCCTGCTCCACGGGAGGCCTGCTTCTCCCTCTCCCACTCCCCCTGCTTGTGTTCCCTCTCTCGCTGTGTCTCTCTGTGTCAAATAAATAAAATCTTAAAAAAAAAAAAAAGAAAAGAAAAGAAAACCGAAGTGACAGCCCCAAGACAAAGGCCTCTGTAAGGATAAATTACTGACACACATTTCCAGTTGCCAGTCTTCCTCAGAATCACAGTCTAGTTATGGACTATACCCAAATAGCTGTCGGATTAAATACCCTGCTTTCTCACAGCAGCTTGACTCTGTAAGATAGTCAGGTTTCGTTTGTAAGTCAGCGCAGTATTTTTAAAACGTGAACACCTCGTAATAAACTAAATCACACGCTGAGGCTGTTACTCTCTGCGGAAAGAGCTGCTTTCAGACATTCGTGAATCAGTTCTTCCAGCCCTGATGAGCCAGAGATGGGATTTATAGAGGTTCGGTCTTCATCCCCATTCCTGTCACACAGTTCCTAAAACCCCTGTCATTTCATTTCCAAGAGCGACAGGGACAGCCTTTAAATGTTAGGATATTTAGTTTTGTTCCCAGTTCCTGAAATAGCTCCAGATAGTAAAGGAGAAATGGGCGTCTTCTGTTGTTCCTAATGAGCCCCTTTCAACCAAGCCAGTTGGTGCTAATGGCTGCCCAGTGGCTGGGGGCTCGCAGATAGCCTGACTGGCTGCCAGGGGGACCACCCAGGGATCAGAGGGTGGGCACTTCCAGCCCCACCCCCCTAACCTCTGGGGAGGAGGTGGGGCTAAAGGTTGAATCAATCGCCGATGGCCAATGATTTCATCAACCGATACCATGTAATGAAACCTTCATAAATCTCCTCGAATATGGAATTCAGAGAGGTTCCAGGCGGGCCAACACATGGAGGTGCTGGGAGGGCGGTGAACCCAGGGAGGGCATGGAAGCTCCTCACCCCTTCCCCCATACCTTGCCTTTTGCATCTCTTCCATCTGGCTCACCTGAGTTGCATCCTTTGTGAGAAATTGGTAATCGAGCAGGTAAATGGTTTTCCCGAGGTCCGTGAGCTGCTCTAGCAAAGGAATCAAGCCCTCGGAGGGCCTTGAGAAGGAGGTGCTGGGAACCTCCAACTTAGAGCAGGTAGGTCAGAAGTACAGGAGACAACCTGGATTAGCTTCTGAGGTTATGGGGGCGCAGAAGGGCCGTCTTGGGGGGACTGGGTCCTTCACCTGTGGGATCGGACGCCAGCTCCAGGCAGATGCTATTGAAACGGAGCTAAATCGTAGGACACCCAGCACCAGCCAGAGGAGCGCAGAATGGCTAGGTGTGGGGAAAATCCCCACATGTCTGGTCTCAGAAGTATTGTGTGAGAGGAAAGGAGAAGCAGGGCATCTTTCCCTCTTAAGAGACTCCTTCACCTTCCAAAGAAATGCCTTTATTTATTTACAGGGCTTAGGAAAGGGGAAAAAAGCTCTAAAAAAAAGGAAATTTCAAAATAGGCCCAGGTGCAGTGAGTATCTGGCAGGGTCCAGGTTGCAGTCTTTTGCGCCTACTGGTGCTCACTTCCAGGTTGTGAGGACAGTTCTCCCCGAGTCTCGCGATCGGCCCCCTTTGGGCCCCAGTGACTGGCCCTGTCGACTTCTCAGGTCTGCCCCATCACCCTGCGCCAGCTCTTCATCATAGCTAGAAACAGAGGAACATCTTCAGGATTTGGCCAAGCAGGGCCACAGAGCCGTAGTGTGGCAAATCCCACGTCGGCCAGGGAAGCAGCCTGCCCCCCCGCCCCCTGCATGTATCCAGCCTGCCAGCCCCCCAAACCCTGCCTGAGGCCACAGAGCATACAGGTACAGCCTTGTTAAATTACTTCTGTGAACTGTCCCCGGCTCCTGCAGTTGACATTTTATGAAAGCTTCCTACCAGATGGAAGTCGGCAGTGACCCCAAAGGAAACACGAATGGGACACCAGGAAGGTGAGGGAGAAGACTGACGTCTGGAAATACTTTTATACACAGCATCTGTTGGCAGGTATGACTGACCCCATTTCAGATGGGGAACGGGGTGTGAATGACCCGCCCCGGGGTGAGGGGACCAGGACAGGGCGGGCAGTTCACCCCACAAGAAAGGCCAGATCCAGCCTCCACCAGCTGAGACCTACCCAGCCCCTCCCCCACAACGTTTTCGCGCCAGGCCTGTGCGGTGTGAAAGCATGACCCCGTGTAGGAAAGAGAGCCTGGGCTTTTGCCTCAGAAAGGACAGAGCTGAAACCTCAGGCGCCCCTGCCCGGTTAGGACATCTGGGTAGTCCCTGGCCTCTCCCGCCACGGTGAGCCCCTCTTAGGGGGTCCATGAGGCTGGAGAAATGGCACTGCATCACCCGCAGGGCCTGGCAGGTACAGCCTCTGGCGATGGGGTCTCCTATCCCCAAGGTGACTTCCCATCACCCTCCTGACTGACCCCCTACTTCCTATCTGAGACTTGGGAGAGGTTTACTCAGCGTCCTAAGGGCTGTGGGATCAAGTAAAACCCAAGACTTCAGATTCCCAATTGGGACCTTTTCACCCTGTGGATCAGGAGCGTGAAAAGCATTTCTGTTCCCTATTAAACCTCTTTCCTAGGTATCCTTTGGTGGCCACGCCCTGACTGGGGATCCTCTGTTGTAAGTGGATGTTCATGTCAAATGCAAAAGGTACGAAGATGCTCAGCTATGTTGCTTTAGCTGAGTTTTGCTGACTTCTGGAAAAGGGGTATTTCTGTTCTACGTTTATTCCCAGAATCAGAATCTGCAGGTTGAGAGTGGTGTGGGAGAGAAGCTTCTGAAGCTGAAGAACATATTTTCTGCGCTGTGCTTCTGCTGGGAAACGGGGGGCCGAAAGGGAAGGCAAGGAGGAAGAAGGCTGGTTTGTTGACTGTTATCCACACGACAGACACTACGGGGTTTCCCTCTGCTGGAATGGCGATCAGGGCAACAGGTAGGGCCCTCCTCTCCCCCATCTCCTTAGGGAGAGATGATGCTGGAGGGAGGACTCCCCAGGAACACTGGAGGTTCTGCCTGTGGGGGCCCCTCCTCACCCCAAGGACTGCTAGAGCCCCTGGACTCCCTGTTCACATGTTAGCACCACCCCCATTAGCACTCTGTTGCTGGTTCTGTGTCTACATCGCTGACCTAAGGACTGCAGTGACCCCATTTGTCTGGTTCACAGTTGCCCCCAGCACCTCATTCCTGGGTGGGTGTGCAGTAAGAATCTACTGAATGATGGGGGCCGGGGGGGGGGAAGGACCACACAGGGGTTACCAGTCTCACTGTGCATGTGGCAAGCAGCTGACATCTGGGACACACTATTCCCAGGGGTGGTGCTAATGTGGAGGAGAATCAGGCAGATGGTCTTCTAGGGCCCCTTCTCATTCTAGCAGGCTTCACTCCTGCTAGAATGACAAGCAGATTGCAGTAACCGGCAGGGTTCAGGCAGTAGTGTTTTATTTATTTATTTATTTATTTATTTTTAAAGATTTATTTATTAGGACGCCTAGGTGGCTCAGTTGGCGTCTGCCTTCGGCTCAGGTCATGACCCCAGGGTCCTGGGATCGAGCCCCGCATCGGGATCCTTGCTCAGCGGGGAGCCTGCTTCTCCCTCTCCCTCTGTCTCTCCCCCTGCTCATGCTCTCTCTCTCTCTCTCTCTCTCTCTGTATCTCGGCTTCTCCCTCTGCCTGCCGCTCCCCCTGCTTGCGCACACTCTCTGACAACTAAATAAAATCTTTAAAAAAAATTGATTTATTTAGAGAGGGAGAGTGAGTGGGGGAGGGGCAGAGGGAGAGAGAGAATCTCAAGCCGACTCTGTGCTAAGCACGGAGCCGGATGCGGGGCTCCATCTCACAACCCTGAAATATGACCTGAGCCGAAATCAGGAGTCGGATGCTTAACTGACTGCCACCCAGGCGCCCCTGGACAGTAGGGTTTTAAAGGCTGGACGAGTATACCCAGCACCTTCAGACCTGAGCCCTGGAGGCTGCAGGCACAGAAGGCCAGGCCTCGTGGCTTGAAGGCCAGCACAGCGATCAGGGCAACAGGAGTGCCTACTTCTGGGGGCCAGCACCAGTGGTTGACCTTGGGCAGCGAACTGGCAGCCTGGCTTGCTGCTCTGGCTACTGGCACACTCTGGAGACCGCTGTGAGCACCCCACGGGAGGCAGAGCACCTGACGCGGTAGAAAGTCAGGGCCCTCCCTCCCCGCGCAGCCAGCTACTGCTGCAAGAGGCCGTGGCTGTCAGCCAATGGGATTCCTGACCGTGAGGTCATCCGAAGCACTAGGGAGGAGGCCTGCATGGAAGCGCCTGGAAGCTCTGCGCTGGAGCCTTCCTGACTCACAGGAGCGGGCAGAGGGCGGCTGAGTGGGGGCGGGGGGGGGGGGCGGGTGTGTGTGTCACCTTTCTGTCGTCAACTAACAGCAGTGAGGCTCTGACCTCTGGGTCTTTAACCGGAAGTGGGGTGTCTGCCGCCCTCCCTCAAGGGCCCCAGGGGCTCCCGACTGCCCAGCCTGCCACCACCCTGGCTGGATGAAGACAGATCCACCAAGTCCCTCACGCTCCTGGCAGGAGGCAGGACTCCTCCACATACTCCACCCCCGTCTGCCTCAGAGGCCGTCAGGACTCAGCCCCTGTCTCCTGCACGTCACCCTGCCCCTCCCCCACTGCCACCCCCAGAGGCTCCGGACACGCCCCAGTCTGACCACCCCCAAGCTCTTCCTCTGCGCACTCAGAACTCGCCCGTCGCCAGCAAACCCCCGAGTCTCCACCTCATCCTGGAATGTCCCCTACACCTTCCTGCGCTAAAACCGGGCTCTCCCTGAAGACACTGCTTCCCTGCAGCCCCTCCAGTGGGGGTGCTTTCTCTCCTACCCATCATGCCCCTGGGCCTGGAGGGAGCCCCCCATCTCCAAAACCTCCTTCCCAGGTCAGCAGAATCCATCGCCCGCCGTGGGCAGTTAGCTGTAACCTAATTCCTTACCATTCAGGCCTGCAGCTCACAAGTGTTAGCCGCTGCAGTGACCAAACAGGAGACCCCAATTCCCTGACCCTGTGCCCCCCCCATTACCTCGTCCTCCTCCCCAGCTCAGGCCCATTCCCACGGCCCCCGACCTTGTCACGTCCAGCAACCCTGCAAAGCCCGGACTGCAGACACTCCCTCTGACCTCTGCCTCTTCTTCCCCAGCTCGCTTTGCTGGTGCCCCAACCCCAACAGCCCGCAACCACCAGGACCTCTGGTGCCCTCCCACCCCCTCGCACTGTCCTCCTCTCTCGCCCTCCTCCGTGCCCGACAAGCCCCAGGGCTGGTCACTTCGCGCCCTCTGCTTACCCTGCACTTAGCCCACTTAACCACTGACCGTGGCTGGAGGAAACCACCCACCACGCTGAGTGGTCACGCCTGCAGCTCCCCACCACCGCCCCCGGAGGCCCCCACGTTTCCCTTCTGAGTTGACCCTCCACCCTCCCCAGTGCTGTACACACACCAAGGCCACGCCCGGCGTAGGCGGGGAGGTGGTCAGCCGTGGGCTCTGGAGCCCGGGGCCCCACGCCAGCAACGCCGACCAGCCGTGGGCCTGGGACCTGTGTGCAGCACGTGACCTTCACTACAAATGTCTTCCTTTGTTCTCTTGGGACGTTACACGCATTTTTACTTTTACAGAAGGACTAACGTGACCCTTACACGTGTCCCTCTTCCAGTCTGGGGCACTATTTTCCTCTTTCCTCCAGCTCCCCTTCCACACCTCACAGCCCACGGTAGCCGCATCCACGCGGACAAGCTAACGTGCGTCCCTCGCGTGCCCTTTTCTGCAACCTGCTTTCCTCCCTCGGCCTCCCAGGCCCCACCAGAGCTCCTGGGCCACCCTCTATTCCACGGTTTGAACCAACAGTACGTTGCTCAACCACTGTCCCCAAGAGGCTCTCACGCTGCTCCCACTTCCTGCCGCCGCCAACAGGCCACTGTACCTCTCTAAACCTTGTTTCCGCTTGCGTGAGATGGGGCTAATGACAATACTGACCTCAGGGGGTCGCTGGGGAAATGAGGCACTCAGCACAGTTCCGGGCATGGGGGCAGCCCTCAGCTGTCAGCTATCATCATGAGCATTCTCGTCTTCCCAACTCCGGAAGACTGCTTGCATTAGCGATCTCCCACCTGCTCCCACCTGCCCCAGCGGCTCACGTGGTGCCCAGCAGGTGGCAAACACATCATCAATATTGATCAAGTAAAAGACCCAGACAAAGGCCTAGTTTAAGACCCGTTTTTCCGCTACAACATGATCTATCCTATAACATCATTAATAAATGAAATGCTCAGCCCAAACAAGGCAAGTCCACACACATGCAGACAATCCAAGTTGGGTCCTGGCTCCCCTCAATCTGAAACACACAAGGACAGCTGCCCAGTCTACACACAAACTTACAGAATTTCGTAATTGCCGAGAACTTCCTTCGGGGGTGACTTGTTCCATTTACAGTCTGGAATCTCGCCATTAGGGACTGCAATATTGAGGGTGTCGTTGATCAGGTTATACTTAAGGATTCGGTCGTTGGCAGTGCTGGAAGTGAGAGACGGGGACGCATTCACCTACGAGAGGAAAGGAACCGTGTTGTTCACTTGGATCACAGATTCCTGTGGTGTGAACACACGCACTGCTGAGGAAAACGCCCACTACCACACACTATAAGTCAAGCTGTCATTTCATACTGCTCATATCTAATATCGTCCGGTACTTTGTATAGGAAGCATTTTAGGATCTGCTTCCATTAGCTATTAGATGAAATATAAATAGTATTGAAAACAGGTTGGGATTATGACCTGCAAATCACTTATCACACAAATAAAAATGTTAAGTGAAGGGGCGCCTGGGTGGCTCAGTTGCTTAAGCATCTGCCTTCGGCTCAGATCGTGATCCTGGGGTCCTGGGATCGAGCCCCACGTTGGGCTCCCTGCTCAGCGGGAAGTCTGCCTCCCCCTGTGCCCCTCCATCCACTCGTGTCTTCTCTCTCTCGCAAATAAATAAAATCTTTAGAAAAAAAAAGTTAAGTGAATGTAGATCATAAACATAACTTCAGTGTCTACCTATGTGATGAGCTCTGTCCAAAGTATTGAAAGCCCCCCGCCCCAAGCTTTGCTAGAATCAGTGAACCAAATCACCCTGACCAAGCAGCATTGTGGGGTTGAAAAAGTAATGCCCCCCACCTTTAAGTAATCTCTATACCCAACATGGGGCTCAAACTCATGACCCCGAGATCAAGAGTCGGATGCTCTACCGACTGAGCCAGCCAGGCGTCCCCAGTGGGCCCCTTTTTGGCAAAGAGAGTAATACCTCACCAACAAAGCAATATTCTGCCAAATGAGAAACCCATCTGAAAGACAGAAAGTTAGTCCCATAAGGCCCCCGAGGAGCTAAGCAATGTCAAAAGTCCACAGGTTAAAATGCAGTCATCGGCTGTGTGGAGAGTCCCACAGGCCCCGAGTCACCACCTATTTACTCTTACTTTAGGCACAGTTGTAATGATCTTGGTTAGCTGTTTCCTCAGGCTGTGGGAGAGTGGAGGCAGCAAGTGTTCAAGTTGTTTAGGTTTCTCCCAAACAGCCAGACTGTCTCTATGCTGCTAGTAAGGTAGTTAATGTTCAGCAGTAAAAGGTACTGTATGAACCTCAGGCGCCCTTGGAATTACTACGCTAGCGGGGCGCCTGGGTGGCTCAGTCAGTTAAGCGGCTGCCTTCGGCTCAGGTCATGATCCCGGGGTCCTGGGATCGAGCCCCGCATCCGGCTCCCTGCTCAGTGGGGAGTCTGCTTCTCCCTCTCCATCTGCCTGCCACTCTGCCTACTTGTGTT